ATAAAATTCACTAATGTTGATCCTGGACCATCAATATATAAATTCACTAATGTTGATCCTGGACCATCAATACCTCAATTCACTAATGTTGATCCTGGACCATCAATATATAAATTCACTAATGTTGATCCTGGACCATCAAGTAATTAAATTCACTAATGTTGATCCTGGACCATCAATATATAAATTCACTAATGTTGATCCTGGACCATCAATATATAAATTCACTAATGTTGATCCTGGACCATCAATATATAAATTCACTAATGTTGATCCTGGACCATCAAGTAATAAAATTCACTAATGTTGATCCTGGACCATCAATATATAAATTCACTAATGTTGATCCTGGACCATCAATATATAAATTCACTAATGTTGATCCTGGACCATCAAGTAATCAAAATCACTAATGTTGATCCTGGACCATCAATAAATAAATTCACTAATGTTGATCCTGGACCATCAAGTAATAAAATTCACTAAAGTTGATCCTGGACCATCAATATATAAATTCACTAATGTTGATCCTGGACCATCAAGTAATAAAATTCACTAATGTTGATCCTGGACCATAAATAAATATATTCACTAATGTTGATCCTAGACCATCAATATATAAATTCACTAATGTTGATCCTGGACCCTCAAGTAATTAAAATCACTAATGTTAATCCTGGACCATCAATATATAAATTCACTAATGTTGATCCTGGACCATCAATAAATAAATTCACTAATGTTGATCCTGGACCATCAATAAATAAATTCACTAATGTTGATCCTGGACCATCAATATATAAATTCATTAATGTTGATCCTGGACCATCAATACCTCAATTCACTAATGTTGATCCTGGACCATCAAGTAATAAAATTCACTAATGTTGATCCTGGACCATCAATATATAAATTCACTAATGTTGATCTTGTACCATCAAGTAATTAAATTCACTAATGTTGATCCTGGACCATCAATATAAAAATTCACTAACGTTGATCCTGGGCCTTCAATAAATAAGTTCACTAATGTTGATCCTGGACCATCAATATATAAAATCACTAATGTTGATCCTGGACCATCATTATATAAATTCACTAATGTTGATCCTGGACCATCAATATATAAATTCACTAATGTTGATCCTGGACCATCAATATATAAATTCGCTAATGTTGATCCTGGACCATCAAGTAATTAAATTCACTAATGTTGATCCTGGACCATCAATATATAAATTCACTAATTTTGATCCTGGACCATCAATATATAACTTCACTAATGTTGATCCTGGACCGTCAAGTAATAAAATTCACTAATGTTGATCCTGGACCATCAATAAATAAATTCACTAATGTTGATCCTGGACCATCAATATATAAATTCACTAATGTTGATCCTGGACCATCAATATATAAATTCACTAATGTTGATCCTGGACCATCAATATAATTTCACTAATGTTGATCCTGGACCATCAAGTAATAAAATTCACTAATGTTGATCCTGGACCATCAATAAATAAATTCACTAATGTTGATCCTGGACCATCAATATAAATTCACTAATGTTGATCCTGGACCATCAATATATAAATTTACTAATGTTGATCCTGGACCATCAATATATAAATTTACTAATGTTGATCCTGACCATCAATATATAAATTCACTAATGTTGATCCTGGACCATCAATATAGAAATTTACTAATGTTGATCCTGGACCATCAATATATAAATTCACTAATGTTGATCCTGGACCATCAAGTAATAAAATTCACTAATGTTGATCCTGGACCATCAATATATAAATTCACTAATATTGATCCTGGACCATCAAGTAATTAAATTCACTAATTTTGATCCTGGACCATCAATATATAAATTCACTAATGTTGATCCTGGACCATCAAGTAATTAAATTCATTAATGTTGATCCTGGACCATCAATACCTCAATTCACTAATGTTGATCCTGGACCATCAATAAATAAATTCACTAATGTTGATCCTGGACCATCAATATATAAATTCACTAATGTTGATCCTGGACCATCAATATATAAATTCACTAATGTTGATCCTGGACCATCAATATATAAATTCACTAATGTTGATCCTGGACCATCAATATATAAATTCACTAATGTTAAACCTGGACTATCAATAAATAAATTCACTAATGTTGATCCTGGACCATCAATATATCAATTCACTAATGCTGATCCTGAACCATCAATTTATGAACACAGCGATTTTTGGTGGATTTGCAAAAAATTAAATCTGCAAGCACACTTTCCTCCAGTTACGTATTTCGCTGTTCTCAGAAATGCAGACCTGGGTACAGATCCACAGTGAGCCTCGCCCCTGTTTGTCCTCAATACGCCAATCTGTGCGTTGTGATCCAGTATTGCAATACCCAGTTCAACCACTGGGTGACAAACTTACATACTGCACCTTTGATTTTCACATATTATTTCTGAAAACAAGCTAATAGTTATTGCTTGTCTAGAACAAATAATGCTTCCTGATTTAAACATTTTTAGATATTTGAACTATATTTACTATATTATATTTAAAACAAAACTAAACCTCTGAGAAAAACATTTTTGTTTGGAGTGTAAGCTTTATTAAAAATGTTTTAAGAGAAGTACAACAAGTTATAACACTCATTCTAAGCATGTATTTAGTCTAATTATCTTAAAACTGGTTTGTTTCTTACTTTATAAACTTTATGCTTTGCTTATTCCGTGTGGAAAAGTGTGCTTTTTGTGATTTTAAAGTGTCACATCGTTGCATCGCATGTTAGAAAAAGACCAATATTAATTTTTTTGTCTAGAATTAAGATTGTAACTCGAAGGAATTTTTGCAGAGCAAGACAAAAACCTCTTGCACCTGCTTTGATATCGACCGCTGCCTGTAATCAAATGAGACCTTTTCCTCCACCAGAGCC